AATTATTAATATGAAAATGAGTTTGGAGATTGTCGTAGAAAATATATTTGTAAAATTTATAGGAAAATATAAGAAACATACCAAGAGTCGTGATGTGTGGTGTGTCTGCGTCTGTGATCAGATGATGACTATCCATGACTGGGTAAGTGCACTGATGCAGGTTGTATATATAGGTGAAAGTTGTTTAGGGGGTTGGGTCAATAACCTGTATTGTATTGAATATGGGATTGTTAACAACATTTTAAAAACTAAGTTTGTGTATAGACTGAAATAATAAATAAATATATACTGAATAGTAATGAATGAGTTTATTAGAAGAAGAAAAATTAGTTTTAAAAATTCTTCTGCTTTGAAGTACACTTTTAACAGTGTAATAAATGTGCACAGTTCTTGAGGGATTCTCACACAACCCTTTGCTTCTAGATCTTTATTACATAAAAGAGTATGGATGCGGCATTTCAGAAGCGTACGTCTGACCCAACCAAGTGGCAAGAATCCATCGCCATAGTGAGATTAGTAGTACCGTAAAGCACTGCCATGTGGCACCAGTGTCTCCTTTCTGGCTCCACGTTTGCGACACGACAGATCAGCCCGTGGCACAGCTCTGTTTAGACTCGTTCGAAATTGCAGAGCTGTGATGAAGCGACATGGCTTCAATAAAGTGGGGTTATATAGGATGGAGTTACCGACTTTGTCGCCGGCAAAAGCTTGGTCCCTGTCCACGTGACTCGGACCATCATTGGAGCTCCTCCAGAACGCCTTTTTGGCTGCAGCGATGATTTCGATGATGATGAGAAGATTTTATTACGCCATTACAAATTATGTCTTGTCCTTGATTCTTCTTCTGGCTCTACAGCCCTTCGTGAGCATTGGCCTCCGGGAGAACCCTCCTCGATTCATTTCTTTCTTGTATTATCACCCACCAGGCATGAATTTTTAAGGTTGTTTAAGGCTGTTGCATCAACCAAATCCAAATGTGACATCCTGGGCGATAAATTTGCGGCCAATAGTGAATATTTTAAGAAGTGCGACGACAGACTTTCTTTCGAATTTCCGTCGTAACGATCCTGATACAACTGGCTCCTAACTTGTGGTTGAATTTGACGCTCTCTTGAACTGGAAGCGTCCTAGTTGTCTGCTCGTCGTTCTGCGAAATCTGGTCGTTAGTCCATCAGATATGGGTTGCAACATGAAGGCCTCAGAATAAAACTGGCAGTTCGTGTCCTCATATAGGACACCAGTCCCTCCTAATTCATTATTGGAACTCTTAGAGGTGCCATCTATTTTACGTGTTCGGGTGACCACAGTGGACGAGGGCAGACTGTACAACAAGGTCGTGCCTTGTGAATGAAAGGAAGGGTAGCTTCAAATATGGTAGCTAAGCCATGTTTACATAATTAAAGGTCTGCCGTCGTCAGGGGTGAGTACTAGTGTCCGCTCTCGGTGACTGCCATGCAAAAATTCTCTGGTTCGATTTGTATAAATCGTTTCAATATTTTTGAATACGTGGGTAGGGGGCATACCCCTACACAAGGTCATAACTTGAGCTCCCGTGGCTAGTCCAAAGGTATTCTGTGAAGCGATATCCTCCACCCTTTTTAAATAGGTTACTTGTTTTGTGTGAAGCGAGCAGCTTCGCCATCTTGCCTTCTTGTTCCCTTTATAATGTTATGAATGCCTTGCAAATGTTCTGCCGCTGCGACCCCGAACAAAACTTGAGGATCTCGCCTCCAAAATTTATCAAGCCCCTCTTTCGACGGTGCTCAATGCAACATCGCTTGGTGTGGGCAACGGCCTTCCACAAGTGTTTAATTTTCTGTTTACTCTATCTATGGCTTCTCCCAATCGATCAAATTTCTCCCATCTACGCCTTGGCCCGCCCAGTGGTTGTTTTCCCGGAGGATTTACCATCACAATGCAATCTTGTCTCCTCCAAGCGTTCCACATGTCCATCCCTTTCGGAGTCTCTTAGGTTTCACTAACCTCACTGTGCTAGCTGACCTGTGCAATTCCCCTCGCTCCTAATTTTGTACTTCCTATATCCAAATATCCTTCACAGATTGTTATTTTAAAATTATGGGCAACTACTGAGATCAAACCCGTGATATCTTACTCGCCGGAAGCGCTACTCTTTCGAATATCCTATCACCTGGTCGTGGCTGTGTTGTAATTGTATGTTACATGTTTGTTTCGTATCGGTTAGGAGGGGCGCCATTTGAAAATGAGGTCTCGGTTTGGTTGTAAATCGGAATTTCCGCAAGGTGACGCAAAATAAGAGTGGAATATGCGAGTCGCTTTCGCAGATAACCTTCCCATATACTTGATACTATGTGGCAAGAAATCGACCGAGAAGATAAAAGCGTAGTCATTTTTGGTTATAACGGTACACCACAAATCCATCTTTCCCCAGTCCCAAGAACCCTACGAGGCCAAGCGCCATCTGTTTCACATGCCACTGACGTGGAGAAGGAACGGGATAAGGCAGCTTAAACCTGGAAAAGCCGTTGCCACTTATCTCCTTCCGGGGAGTGGTCGTAAATTGTACCGTGGGAGGTCAATGCCCTCCCCATGTGAGTCTGTGACTTCATCACTAACAACAGATGGACAGAGCGGGGTGTCGAGCTCTGCTCCCTCAGGGTCGAGTTCCACTTCGGCCTCTCCCTCTGTGTCATCCGCGGGGACCTCATTCTCTAACTCTAGTCGCTCCGGGGCATCCCTACTCCGCAATGAATACCTAGGGATTACCCGGTCCCTCTCGTCTGTCTCTGGTCTGCGACTGCCCTGTACCTGGGTTCGATAATGTTGGCTTAGTTCCCACTCGGGGTCCCGTCCTGACCCATCTGAGTCCGTATCTTCACAATCACTACCGATGACATGAGTTGGGGGTGGAGTGCGGGGACGGTCCTTCCGCCTTGAGCCTAGATTCCCATAACATCCTTTCATTTTATTAACGTTTACCACAATTTCTCTCCCCTCAGGAAGTCTCACGACATAGTTCAAATCAGATAGTCTTCGAACCACTTCATAAGGACCCTTCCACCTTGTTCGAAACTTCAGACAGGTTTGTCTACCTTTATTCATCTGTTTCAGATACACCATTTCCCCAGGTTGAAAGGTCACTAATTTCGTTCCCTTGTCGTATTGTTTCCTTTGCTTCTCCCGTCCGATCTGATTATTTTCCCTCACCACATCATAGGCTTCCTTCAACCTGTCCGCCAATGTGTCGATATGCCCTTGAACCGGGTCCAGGTTCGAGTCCGGTTTCCTGGTTACAAATTTTGAAGTTATCAAATCGTCCTCCATAGGCAAGTAGACATTATAAAATTCAATTTGAAATGTGCAACAAATTGAAGGATATATATTTATGTGTCTCTTATTACATGGAGGGGTATAAGCTGAATGCCAGCGAGGAAGGTTTCGGTAATGGTCTTGAGATTAAAGTTCGTAGTTTTGCAAAGCACAATTTATTTCTTTTACGATTAACATTTACTGGCCGAATCGAGCTACAAAACAATTTAGGATGTTGCTTCCTCTGAATTCCAGAAAAGAGTGTCCTCCAAGAAAACTTTCCTGTCCTTTAGTTATAGGACTTCCCCCCTTAACTTTCACAAAAAAAATGATGTATTTGGGCAGTAATGATGCCCTAG